GAAGTGCTCTAATGGGGTGATACAAGGTTGTTAAGATAAGACGGGGCCTGATTATTTAAGACCTTGTATGTGAGGAGCAGGATTTTGAATTAAATTCTGAATTTAACAGAATGCACTGGTATTACCAGCATAAAAAAATGTTTCAGTTGACCCAACTGAATAATATGTGTAATGGAGGAGGTCACTTTAAGAGGAATGGACTTGACCTCCTGACTATGACTGATGGCCTTTTGTACAATATGGAAAAGCTCTGCACTCAAGTATCAACAAATAACCACAACATGGCAGGCCGTTGTGACCACAGAAGCACTCTATGTATGTTTCATTGCTGTTAGTGATTTTTATTTCATTATTCATTTCATTTTCATTGTATCCTCATTTTATAGTTTATTCCTGTATTATTGGGACATTGTCACTAGTAAGTTTTGCCACTTAGCGCTTCCCTTTGCCACTGGTATATATTTAAACATATGATGTGTGTGTGTATAAACTGTGTTGAAAATTTGGATTTACAAAATATGGCAATTACAAATACAGATTACAGTATACAGACAACTAACCTGATTTACAAATGAATTTAGTTGTGGTGACAAGCAGAGACAAAAGCTTTTCACTTGTAAACTCCTCACCCAGCTTCTCGAATAAGGTTCAGACCACTGAAAAACAGAATGAGTGTAATGTACATGAAACAGAACATTAAATGTAGTGTTGGCATGGCACTTCATCTGCAACACACACACACATTTTCATGTGCACTGATGTGATTGCAATCAGTTTCTAGCAGAGAGAACTCTAGTCATAGCTAACTTTAAGAGAATAATAGGGTTCAGTGGAAAATATTACTGAAAACATAACCTGCAAGCGCTAACCAAATGTCCATGATCTCAGCAGCACAGACTGCTGCTGAGATCATGAGCTGTGATAATGGCAGCCTGCGGTGGGCAGACCACAAACTGCTGAAGAGCAGAACAAGCTATACGGGTGTCTTATAATGGTGATGTTTTCAAAATGGTCATTGTTATTATCATCATCATCATCATTATTATTATTATTATTATTATTATTATTATTATTATTTAACAGGCTGTAAATGTGCCTTGTAATAATGTTTGTATGAACATTTTGACAGGAGAATCATTTAACTTTTGGCAAATGTGAAATGATTTTTATTACACTCCATCAGGTTTGAGCAGGAGAGTTTTAGAAAAAATAATAAATATATACAGCATATATGCATAAATGTAGAGGAATAATAGAAACACTAACTGAAAGTTACCTGAACATCTAAAATGTTCAGGGCAAGACAGCTAAACCATATTGTTTTTCCTGCAGACAAAAGAAGAACCAAAGAGGAAGGGCGTTCATGTTTAGCACAGAGGGGCTTTGTGTGCCAAACCGCTGAACATAAAACAGTCATGTCAGTCCTCCTATTTTTCCGTCAGTTACAGCCTGTGAGATAATTGTGTCTACTTTTCATTGTCTGCTACTGTCAGCTTTATGCTTGCAAGCTGGACTCCGACCACCATGCTGCTGACACATTTTCAAAATGTGTTTGTCTGTTTCATCTTCTACATTTCAGGTATGAGTAATCATTTATACATCCTTATTAAAAACATAGAAAAAACTAAATTTACATTCTAAAATAATTGAAATAAGAAAAAGTTGGGACGGTATGTTAATTAAAATCAAACTGAAAACAGTACTTTGTTAAATTGTCTTTGCTGTGTATTATATTGAAAACGATACAACAGAGCATTATTTAATGTGTTACTCATTAATTTGATCATTTTTGTCAAAATAAAAACACATTCCAATTTTGGTTCTTGCAACACATTTCAAAAGAGAAGTATTCAGTAATTAGTTACTAATTACGTTTTTCAAGTAACTTGTCCAAGACTGTTTGTTGGCAAACTGGCGATCCTTGGCACATCTTTCCTCTTAAAGGACTAGACCTTTCTTGGATGCTGTTTTTGTACCAAATCATAATTACAATCACCTGTTGACATCACTTTTTTCAAATAACATCATTATTTAACCAATTTTCCTGATTACGAGCCAAAAATTGCTCCTGCCTCAACCTTTTTTGAAATGTGTTGCAGGTCCAAATGACAGGAAAGAATGTATATTTACAAATGAAGGGAAGTTGACCGGACAAAACATGAAATATTTTGTGTTCATATCATCTGCAGTGAAATAAAGATCAAAGTAAATTTATAAATCAGTATTTTCTTTTAATTTTTTCTCAGTTTTCCATACTGTCCCAACTTTTTGGTATTTGGGTTTGTAGGAAGAACAAAAAACACAGTTAATTGTGATAAGATAATAAGTACATTTGCTAGTAAAAGTTTCT